TTGCGTAAAAAAAAAAAAAAATGCACTGGCAGCAATTTTATAGCAATTAATAGGAATAATTCAAAAATTCAATGATGATTTTACACTCATTAATAGCGCCTACAAATATTTAAGATATGCATTTAAGGAAGAAAAAAAACAGTTGAAATTTGTGTATGTACTCATTGACAAATACTTTTAGATTTAATTTTTTTTTTAAATTAATCACATCGTTTAGTCATTCAAATACATAAAATTTTAAAATATATATGTATATTAATTTGTAGGAATATGTTCAGTTTGCATTTATAACACAATTCACCAATATTTATATTTAAAAATTGTCGACTTCCAAGCTGAATGATTTTGTTGTTACATCAAGAATATTATTCATGATTAGTGAAAAATATGATTAGTGAAAAATATGAAAAACAAGAAAATAGAAGATTCGATGACACTCAATTTATTGTAGTAAATATTTGTTTAAATTAATCTAATAAAGAAACACACTTTTTATAAAAATAGTGTAATTTAAGATTATTTTGGAAGTTTTAATATGCTTGTTACTAAACTCTGCTTTTAGAATAATAAAATAACAGCAACGCTTTTAAAGCGAAGCTTAAATAGGTGATTTCTATTTTATTTTTTTTTAATATAAACCAGTCGGTCAACATTTTAATAAAATTGAAAAAAATCCCGAATTATTAAAGTATTAAATTGATTAAACATTATTTAATATCTCAAAAAAAATATTTCTGAAAATGCTAAAACTGTGTCTCATATTATTTTCAACTTAATGAATGGTACTTAATACAAAGCACAGGCAGAACTAATGCATGGTATCATTTTTAAAGGATCATAATATCTAAAAAATATGACATAAGTTTCGAAAATGGTTTTACTGCTTCGTTTAAAGTTTACAATAAAACCTCAAAGACAATGAAAATATCACATCTTTCTATCTGCATCTTATAAAAAAGTATAAATAGAAATTTTTTAAATGATGTGTATAAGCTAACAAATGATTAGAACTTAAGTGAAAATCGTTAAGGAAAACGTTTTAGAAAAATATGCAAACAAAAAAAAGTATTTAAAATCTGAAATAGGATTTTTTTTTTTTAACATTTAAGAAGAATAGACAATAATTAAAAATAAGTTCTTCAATGCATATATGCAAAGCTTTCAAAAAACTACTATCCATTTCTAAAAAAATGTACTGCATGTAATAAATGTACTGCATGTACTAGAAAATAATAATAAAAAATATATTTCAAATGAACAAGATATTTTTTGTTTTAGCTGGGTCTTTTTTAATATGAAGCATATATTTGGAAATCTTTTATCATCCTTAAAAAGTATAAATTAAATCTCATTATAAACTATAAGTACACTATCTTTTCCATGAAAAGGCTATTAAGGATAAATTAATGAGAATATTACTGCTAGATATAATTTTAACCTTCATTTTATGAAATTTGAGAATTTAATTTCGAAAAGACTAATATTTATTATGAATAAATAACAAATCATAAATAAAGAAATATAATCTATTTTAATCTTATTTTCACAACTAGCAAAATTTTTTTTAAAAAATTCTCTGTTTTCAAAGACGATTCTAAAGAAAAAGCAATTTTGACCTTGCTTTCTATTCAAGACAAAATTGATCAGATTTTAATGAATTTAAATTACATATATCGGATCTAGTATGAAACAAAATCCACATTTTCTTATCTGAAATTAAGAATTTCTTGTTTTTTCTTATCTGAAAATAGGAGAATAAAAAAATCTTAGTATTATAATAGCCCCGTACAAACACTCTCTTCTATTAGCTCCATGACTTTGACTATCTGTATTTCTGGCCACATCAAATACCATTCAAATTTCCATTCAAAATACTTACAACTTCATATGGTAGAATCCGCGATGCAAGATTGAGTTATGAGGTCTAACAAAAAAGTATTTCTTATAAAAAAGTAAGCTTATTATTTTTACATTCTTCTCTTTTTAAATAAAACAATGATTTAAATATGTTTGTAATTAATGTAAATAGTCTGCATATGCATATATACATACATACATATATATATATATATNATGAACTTTTATGTGAACTATTTGTTTAATACTTTGTTAAATGTGTGTTGCATTTTTTAGGAAGAAACAGATGTACGGTTGCGAGAACTATTGGAAGTAAGGATGTTGATTTATTTTATTATACTCTAAATTTCAAAGTCAAAAATAGTTTTATTCCCATTTTTATTTGTAGCTAAATATTTTATTATGTATTTATATATGATGTTAAATTTCAAAACTATAAGTATCACTACTTGCCTATAAACCTAAACACATAAAAATATTTTTGTTATATTATTCCATGTAGAAAATTGAATAGTTTACGATGAATTCAGCCATATGTAACCCCCTTATAGTGCTTGTTTTCTTAGGGTAAATGTGAATTTATTGACCCAAAGGAACCTTAGTGATCTTTCTTCTTGCTTTTTGTATTAGATATAATTTGTATGGTAAAGTATCTTTACTTTGGGACTCTTTTTTTAATTTTTTTTATGGAATACTCTTTGAAAAATAGTAGAAAATGTTTTATTAAAAAATGAATTTTTATTTTCTGTACAAAAAAAAAATTTATATATATATATATATAATTCATTATTAAAAAAATCTCCTTTCATTTAAAATAAACTTTAAATATAATTAAGTTATTAAACGTTAGTACAAATGGTCAGTTTTAATTTGATATCTTTAAAAAATTATTTCAACGTTATTAATATAACAACAGTCTTTCACAATTTTTGTCAAGAGTTAAATGGATTTATTTTAGAATATTTCCGGAAAAAAAATTGACAAAAGTATTATTTCAAAAATGTTTTACATTGTAAAGTTGCATCGTATATCAAAACTAATAAGTAAAGGCACATCCTATATCAAAATTAATAAAATAAAACAAGATTTTTTTCTCTATTTTGAAAAATTAAATTAAAAAAATAAAAGTCAAGTTTTTAACAGCTTAAAAGTTTTTACAACACATTCATTTATATTCATTTTGCTGCTTTGAGTAATCCAAAACCAAAGCTTTTATCAACAGCAAAAAAATTTTTTTTTCCTTTTTTCCACCAGCGGAATATATTTAGAGTAAGTGCGCATGCTTTTTCTTTTAGTTTAGTAGGATTCACAAAAACGTCCATCATTTTAAGCGATTTTGTTAGAAATTTCAAAAATAAATCTATTTAATGAAACAATTTCAAATTAACAATTTCTTCTTAGAAAATGTGCTTTTTTCATGTTTTTATTTAGCAAGTTAAATAGATAAATATTTTTAAAATGAACAATTTATATTACTTCACTGAAGTGCAATGAGGAGCAACAGTACTCTCTTTTCAGTATAGCAATTTATTTTAATAGTAAAATTGTTAAGTATAAACTATATTTTTAACTAATATTTTTAAAGCAAAATATTTTTTAATACGTTTGGTTTTTGACATATTTTTTATTGAATATAACTCCTTCAAACCATCATAAAAAATATCAAAACATAAAATACTAAATTCATGCAAGGATTTATTTGTTTTACTAAAAATTTATGAAACACTATTTCTCCATTTTCTTATTAGCTTAGTCATTACATTCATGAATTTAAATTTTACAAGTTCATATTTTGCAGAAAAATTTATAAGTACTTACTGATATTTCGCAGCACAATAAAAACTTCTTTTAGCTAGATATTTTTATTTAAAAAATCTATCCAAGCTATTTGTTTATAAATAACTGAGGGGAATTTTCCCGAAACATTCGAAAAATATGCATTTAATATTAATACAAAATAAGAAGTTTAATGCATACTACTGAATAAAAATTAATTTGTGTAGTTAAAAATCTGTCTCATGTAAACTAATAGTTCAAATTTTTGAAAAATTCATGTTAAACGTATTGTTATTTGAAAAGGAAAGCAAGAAAAAGTAAGAGTAAGAATACATTTTCTATTATATGTAAACAATTTAAAATAATATTTTATGCTCTGAAAATATATAGATTTGTTGCTTGTATACTGAAAGTAATAAAATGGGAAAAAAAGATAACATATTCATACAACAGATTTACATCTACACATCCTTTTGTTTACAGGGAACCAATCAATCTATTTTAGGGAATACTTAAAAACAATGATTTAGATTAAAATATTGAACTAGTTTATTTTACATTCTTTTTAATGAAAATATGTGAGGAGCTCAAAAAAGTAAATTGCTGATAGTTTATTTGTGTGCTTTAAGACTTTTCCTTTACGTTTATTTGTTGTAGAAGCTGTGCACTATAATCTATTTAACATATTAATCTATTTTAATCAGTTTCTCAAAACAATGAAACTTTAAAACAATGATTTAGCTTAGAGCGCTTCACCAACTTATTTTACATTCTTTTTAAGGAAAATCTTTGAGAAACTCCGAAAAAAAAATTGCTAATAGTTTATTTCTATACGTGTTACAAAACTTGGCACGTGTTGTACAAACTGTACCCTATAACTTCTTTAGCATGTGTTACATATATTTTAATCAGTTGTTTCAAACAAGGAAACCTGAAAACAATGATTTAGCTTAGGATGCTTCTCTAATTTATTTTACATTATTTTTAAAGATAATCTTTGAGGAGCTCTAAAAATTAAATTGCTAATAGTTTATTTTTGCGTGCTTTAGAACCTTTGTTATACAAGCTGCACACTATAACTTCTTTAGCATATTTATGTTGCTTAAAACAATGAAACTTGAAAACAATGATTTAGCTTAGAACTCTTCACTAATTTATTTTACATTCTTTTTCATTAAAGTCTTTAAGGATCTCTAAAAAGTAAATTTCTGAATGTTAGTGTGCTATGTATTTAAAACTTTTCATTTGTTGTGCAAGCTAAACCCTATAACTACTATAGCACATTAATGTGTTGGATGTTTTAATCAGTTGTTTAAAACATCTTACACATGCTTTAAATATGACTAGAATATAAAATAGCATCTGACCTGTTGGCGTCGTTGAGGAAGGCGCTGCTGATGTGGAATCACCAGATGACCTTCGTCCACTTAACATATGAGCCATTGCAGCCGAGAAAGTGAAACCGGCTCGATGCATAGCTAGGAGGCCCTCATGGCACCCGTACAACAGACTCAGTTCCCGCGCCTCGTTCTCCTCCTGGGCCTGTTGACGGCGCAGGGCCACTTGAGCTGCCATAACCCTTTGTCTCTCGGCGATCAGCGTGCACTTAGCGCAAACGCAGTCTCGCCATCGACAGTAGCGTTTGTGGCCCTTCAACGCCGACACCACCCCGTGGTTCCTGCAGCGGGCGCATTTGGGGGTTCTTTGGTAGCGCTCGGCTGACCGCAGGAGCAGCCCCGGGGTCGGCTGCCCGGCGGCGGCCAGAACACCGGTTGCTGGGACCGGTGGCCTGGCCAGTCCACCGGGACCCGGCCAAGCCTCGGAGGAGCGAGGTGCGGGCCTGCCGTCTGTGCGGCCTGGTACGCTCATGGCGGGCCTCGCACAGCCGATTTCACTTGATTCTCGAGCCAACTTGGCAAATTAAATTTAGATTGATACCTAAAAGCTCCTCTTTCTCGATCAACGGATGCAATAATGTAATCTTAACTCGAAGATCCCGCGGCATCTGATTCAGAATGTAATCCCTCCCCATCCCTGATTGCCATTGGTCGTAATAGCTGCTACGTCATAAGCGGAGGTGTTTCCTCATTGGACCAATCTTGGATACTCTTTCTACCTGCATTTGCGACTACGCCTATTTCTAACACCTTCCACATTCCACCCCGGATACAGATTCTATCTTTGGTACATGCATTTTCTCCACACCCCTCCCAATCCTTTTTACACCAACTCTTCACACATCATCGGAGCGGTTACCGAATTGGGTGAGTCAGATGTTTTTTAACGTCTGGCGGGGAGATCCACTACTTCATTTTACGATTATTTCTCCCCGTGATCGTTATGTTTCAGTTTCGGATTCTATTGTTCCTTACGGGGATAAACCGCCAAGTAAGAGAATCGCGGTTAATGCGGAGGGCGGGACAGAATCATAAGGCTGGGGAAGACAGTTATCGAATATATATCACTTTTACACGTGTCCGCAAACTTCTTTGTATTTGATTCGACGCCTGCTACTGACGCGATATTTATTAATGGTATTTCTTTGCATGATGGGAGAGACTTGTTTACAGCAACAAGGTAAAAGAAATGTAATATCTGAGTATCGGAGGAAAAGAAATAAAAATTGAAGAAATGATCGTGTAACTGGTGGATTTTTCAATTCATAGAGAAATGCTTTTGACAGAAAGAAATTTATTTGATTTAAAGTTCATAAAGAATTTTTTACTGTGAATCATTCCGTTCGTAAAGAGAATTTTCTATCCTATTTCAATTAAAAAATCTTTCTGTTCAATATTTTTTCTAACAGTTTTTCTTAGAATTAATTAAAGGTGTTCCTCAAATCATTTGACAATACTTTGCAGATTTTACAAATTGATACGTTTTACAGATTGATACAAATAACGTAACAAATTTGTAGCTATTTTATTAGTGTAAAATCAAGTTGAAGGAGTAGCCGTTTAAGTGGTGGATTTTTCAAATCATAAAAAAATGCCTTTGACACAAAGAAGTTAGTTTGATTTAAGTTTACAAAGATTTTTTTTAAATAAATAGTTCCATTCTGACTATTTTCTATCCAACTTCAATTAAAATAAATTTCCTTTTAATATTCTTTAAAACAGTTTTAATTTTAGTTAATTAAGGATTTTCTCAAATCATTCGACTATTTAGAGATTGGTTTGTTACACTACTAAAAAATAATGCAACAAATTTGCAACTATAAACAGTGTAGAATAAAATTGAAAGAATAGCCGCTTAAGTATTGTATTTTTCAAATCATAAAGAAATGCGTTTAACAGAAAGAAATTTATTTGATTTAAGTTTACAAAGAATTTTTTAATATAAATAATTCCGTTCTCATTATTTTTTCTTTCAATTTTAATTAAAATAATTTTCCGTTTAAAATTCTTTAAAACAGCTTTTTTTACAATTAATTGAAGGTGTTTCTCACTCTCACGTCATTTTACTAAGTTTTACAAAATAAATTCTTACATTTTTGAAAAATAATGCAATAAATTTGTAACTATTTTATCGGTGTAAAATAAAATTAAAGGAATAGTCGTTGAAGCAGTGGATTTTTCAAAACATAATGAAGTAGCTTTTGACAGAAAGAAGTTTATTTACTTTAAGTTCATGAAGAATTTCTAAATATAGGTAATTTTTAATATTTTTTATTATCCGATTTCAATTAATATAATTTTTTTGTCCATTACTATTACAACAGTTTTTCTTATAATTAGTTAAAGTTGTTTCTTGTATCATTTGACGATGTTTTTCAGATTTTATTAACAATTAATGTATTGTTATTTATTTCATCAGTGTAAAATAAAATTGAAAGAATAGCCGTTTAAAGGGTTAATTTTTCAATTAATGAGGAAATGCTGTTGACAGAAAAAAGTTCAGAATTAAGTTTTTAATACAAATTGTTCCGTACTTGATGAGAATTTTTAATCTATTTTCGATAAAAAGAAATTTCTGCCCAATATTCTTTAAAGTAATTTTTCTTATAATTAAAAATGTTTCTCGAATCATTTGACTATGCTTTTCTGATTTTTTTCATCAAATGACTTAACAAATTTTTAACAATTTTATAAGTGTGAAATGAAATTGAGGTAAATAGACATGTTATTTGGGGATTTTTCAATTCATAGAGCATTCTTCAATTCATGTGCATTTGGCAACAGAAAGCTTATCTCTAATTTTATGAAATATTTTTATAAATATGTAGTTTATAAAGTAGTTTAATTTCATACTTCACACACATTTTTCTATTCAGTGTGAAATATTATTTTCAATATTCATATATTCAATTCCATGTTATTATTAATATTTTATTCAATACTTTCAAAAACTATTGCTTTTTTTTAACTAATAGCGATAATAAAAAAAAATTTTATTCCATATTCTTAAAAACAATTCTTCAACTATGATAGTTTTATATTCAACTATCTTTAGAATTATTTTCTATACGATTAATAAATCTCCCGACGATTAATAAAAATAATTGTTAAATTAAATTTGCGTCAGTTTTTATGTTAAAATCAATTGAATATTTGTTACAAAGTCACTGAATTTTTCCTAATAAAGTATTAAGACTTAAAATTTCAAAAAAGAATGTGATGTACCTCAATAATTAAAACTGAGGTGCATTCTTTATTATAATTTTCGGTCTTTATAATTGAATTAGTCTACATTTATAAAGTGGAGCAACAACAGTAAAGTGGAGTAGCAACATTATAAGCAAACATTCACACTTTTTGATATGACTAAGATAATATCAATAAAATTCTTTAATGTATATTCAATATAATAATATAACATAAAATAAAGTAAACTAAAATTATGTCACTCACCACTTTATAGAAATTTATTCATTCATAAGGTGGAGCAAACATTCGCACTTTTTGATATCACTAAATTCCTTTCAATAAAATTCCTCAATAAATCCAGTATAATAAGATAATACAAAATAAAGAAAACAAAAATTAGATCATACATGTTATTTTAAGGGCATCATAATAAGACGTAATACTCTATCACATTTTTCTAATTAAAATAAAAAGAACGCGGAAAAAAATCTGGTAAAATTTAAAATTATAGCATTGCATGTTAATGACATTTCTTAAAAAAAAATAGTAAAAAAAATTTTTTAATTAAAAAGCATAATTTTTGTTAATAAAACCAAAATATACGGTATTTAAACCATTCATTTGGCATTTTTTCCTTTCAAAGGTTTACCGCAAATTCCGGATTTCAAAGTCATTGTCCCTATTACCACACATTTAATTAAAAATACAAAATAGTAAATTTGCCAAATAAATGGTTTTTATACCATACTTTAAAATATCGTGATTAAATTACCGAAATTTATCTCATTTACCAAATTTTATAAGGTATTATTAAACCTTGTTTTATTGTTCATTTTCCTAAAATCATTACCAAACCACTGAGGTAATAATTACATTTTTAGTGTTACCATAGAAGCAGAAATGTGCTGAATTCTGGTAGTTTTGACCATACTTTTTTTTCACAGTAAGGTATCGAAAACATTCTTTCTGCAATTCTTACTCGATTTTTTAGTTTAAGGAGGATTTTCTTTAGCATCTAATTGGTCTACTCCGATCTAGGTTCTATTTGACCCCTATTTGCCCACTCCTGCATTTAGAAATTAGATCTAACAAAACAAAATACGCATGTCAGTACCATAGCGTAAGAAGAACCAAAAATACGTATGGTCGTACCATGACGTACTAATATTTGAGAGTAATAAATAGAGTCAAATACATGTACACCTAAGATTGTACAGTTGTATATGTAATTAAAAATTATTGTACATTTGTATGGTAAAATATACATTTAGAATAACAAATGAATAGAAAAAGAAAATTATCGCAAACTTCCGTTTTGGTGGTTAATATTCGTTCTTATGAATGAATTTGGTGCGATGACTTCTTTTTCCATCCATTGTGTTATGATATTTGTTTTTGTTTGATGTTTACTTGTTGCTTCTATTTATTATTTTTTTCCACTGCAAATTAAATTTTTAAAAAAAAGCTTCAAAAAGTTTTAATATAATAACGAAAAATTATTACTTACTTCTAAAAATTAATTTTGAAACTGCCATTTAGTTAATTGAGTGATGCTTTCCAAAAATCTGCAAAAAATCAGGAAAATCAAAAATGGCTCAAATTAAAACATAAAATTTAACAAAAAGGAAAACTGATAGCTCTAAAGTAGGAATTTTCTGCCTAAAACGGTTAATTTCTAGTCTCAAACCAATAATAAAACTTGATCCTTTATAAAAATAATGATTACTGCATTTTTCATTTTCAAATTACCAAAAACCTGATTAAATATTTAAAGGGAAAAGAGTTCTGAATAATATTTTTACTTTTTTAAGTTGAATTTTTTTCAAAGTTGATTGGACAAAAAAGTTTAGGGTTTTGTATAAAATCATGTACATCATCGAAAATTTCATTAATCCGTTGTATGGTATTAAGATAAAATAAACATGCTGCATGCTAGACATTTCTGAAAAAACAAATGATACTGTTTTTTAAAATTATAGTTCTTATTACCACACATTTATTAAAAAAAAAATTAAAAAAAACTTAAAAGTTAATTTAACCGAATGAATGGTTTTTACTCCATGTTCTAGGTTATCATGATAAAAATATCAAAATTTACCAAATTTTATAACGTATTATAAAACCATGTTTTATTGTTAATTTCACAAAATCATCACCAAAGCACTTTCGTGAAAATTATCGAGGTTTTAGTGTTCCTTATCGAGTCAGTGACACAGCAAATTGTTACATATTCTGATAGGTTTGAGCATCCCTTTTTTCTCAGTGTAAAAATGTAAATCACGCTAGCCCATTGAACAGACCGTCGCCAATAGCCCACTGACCAGCCTTAGATCACACTAAAGCTGCTCAATGGGCTATTGCCGACGGTCTGGGGAACATCCCTGAGGATGATCCGAAGG